ATTACTTTGAAATTTAAAATTAAGAATCGCGATTATCTCTTTGAGTTATAATGTCAAATCTAAATATAGTGGATTATTGGGTGTATGTATTTTCAAACCTTTTCAAATAAACATAACTCATACTCGTAGTACTTGTAATTAATAAAAATTTACAAACAAATTAAGAAAAAACCCATACCCTAACTAACATCAACCGACAAATTAAACAAAACTTAAGCAAATCTTGAGTAAAACATCAAAAAATTGAATAAACGTTAGGCAAAAGTATCATCCGGACTGTAAGACCATTCAATTTGTATAAAATCTGGTCAATCCACTAAACCTAATAAAAGTTTTCATTATTTTCAAGAAAAGTAATAGGAAATAGGAATTAGAAAGTGAATTTGTAAATTTCGTATGAGATTCACAGGAATTAGATCATCATTTTCAAGGTAGAGCGTGGAGGACTTATGCACCGGTGTTTGTAGGAGTTGGCACTCTACGAGAGTACGAGCGGCTACAAGAGCTCTTTTCCCTGAAACACATGCACAGTTTCGAGAATCTAAAACGGCCTTTAATTTTGGTTAAAAGAAATTGAAGTTTTTGGATGTTCATGTGAACACTCTTAAACAATACCAGATCTGCCCCTGCATTTATTATACCACCAAACATTGTATCTATCACTAGTATCTCTCTCTTATAAGGCATGTATGCCACATTGCCACACTGCCCACACACACACACATATATATATATAGTTTTGTCATGAATTGATCAACACATGGAAAAATAAAACATAAATTACGTAATTGATATTTGTGCAGATGAGAGATAATTAATAAGAAAAAAACTCAATTACTACATTCATCTCCAAAATAACTTCTTACCCCTTCACTTATTTGACTGTCCCAAAATAAATTTTCAAATTCAATAAAAGAAAATTCATACTAACTCCGTCCCCCTAAGTTTGGGACAAAAAGATGTGGTGTGATTTTAAAAAAATAGAATTGTGTGGCTGATATTGAATTAATAAAGTGTGAATAAAGTAAGAATGAATTGTAGTCACTCAAATATTACCAAATATGATATGAGACAAACTTAATGAGACAACCAAAAAAAGTAAAACGGGACAAAGTTAAGGAGAAAGAGGGAGTAATAGCAAATGTCACAATCATACTCTTTTTACTTGCTTGTTTTTAATTTGATTTGACACTAGAGGTATAACTAGAAATTCAAATCACAACTTTGTCTTTGACAAATATGTGTGTAAGTAATTTCTAGGACCAAGTGACAAAGAGTGTAATTAAAGTGGAAAGTGACAAAGTTTTTAACACCAAAAAAAACTTTTGGACAATGTATGTTATAAGAGATAAATAAAGTAACGCATGTTATTTGAAATGAATCTAGTAACAGTATGAGATGACATTTAGTAACAATGAGTCATTTTATAGTCTATTTGATTGAACTCTCCTACTTTATAATTGAGACTAATGGTCAATGCATGATTGTTTATGTTTATGATTGCCCTAAGACCATTTGTAGTGGTGGAGAGTCTAAATTGTTAAATTTGGACTCCGTCCATATGAAAACGGTGTTTAGACTCCGTCAATACTGTTTTTTCCCGCATTCGTGCACCGTCAATAAAATACACTCTGCATATTTTTTACCTATCAATTTAGTAAAACCTTAATTACATTATTATAAAAAATATTTTCCTGTTAATTTAATTACCTAGATAATTATGAAGTAAAAGATACGCATTCCGATGTAAAAAAATAAATTTCACTAACTTTTTTAAACGGTTTTTGGTTAACAAAAAAGAACTTAGTTAAAATAAAATTAGATTATGGAATATTCACTTATTATTTGTGAAGGCTTAATGAATTAAAAAATTGTGTTTCGTGTTGTTTGGGTTCAACAAAACTTCAACAGTTAAAATTTATTTATTTATTTTTCATTTTATATATTTCATATTGGTGTCATATGAAAGATCATAAAAAATCATGAATTTTGATATATTTTTCGAAGAATTTGGAGAAAAAATAAAAAAGTTATAAGAGTTTAAAATTAAATGGGATTTTAATGACATAATCGTGACATCATCATGACATCAGCAGAACCAACACCAACGCACAACGGCCGCTTTTCTTTTTCTTTTTTTCTTTTTCCTTTTCTTTTCTCCTGTCAACTGCACCCTCTATTTTTAGACTCTTCCACTCTCCTTCCCACTTTTACTCCCTCTTTTAATCTCCCACTACACTCAATTAAGAGTCTAAAAATTCCATATTTAATTTTTTGACTCCTAATGTGTAACCACTACAAATGGTCTAAGAGTTTTATCAAGCACTTTAAATAATGAATAGGTGATTCTTATTATTTTTATCTGGCTTGCATAAATTTTGCACACGGTTTTTTTATCAAGATTAACAGAATTTAATGAAAGATAAGAGAGTATGTAAATGTAAATATAATAAATAAAGAGTAAAGGGAAAACTATCAAATAAGCACATGTACTATACCGAAAAAGTCGATTAGGCCCTCGTACTTTACAAACACTCAATTATGTCCTCGAACTATTAAAAAATGTTCAATTAAGCCCTTTCGGTCGGTAAGTAACCGGTTTCCCGGTTAAATGTATACCCGTTTCCCAGCCGCCGCCGTTGCTGGGGTTCGAGCACATTGTCGCTGTCGTCGCCGTTTAACCGGGAAACCAGTTACTTATCGACCGAAAGGGCTTAATTGAAAGTTTTTTAATAGTTCGAGGACTTAATTGAGTGTTTGTAAAGTACGAGGGCTTAATCGACTTTTTCGGCATAGTACGGTGGCTTATTTGATAGTTTTTCCAAGAATAAATGTATAGAACATATTGTGGTTTTCCATTCAGAAAATAAGCGAGCTGAGGGAGCCACGTGAGCATTAATAAAGGAAGGGAATGTGACAACATGTATCGAAAGCATGAGTGTGAGGAAGAGTAACCAAATGAGAACCACTAACAAAAGACTGGAGGATTACCTGTGACATATGAGTCAATATAAAAGCTAGTTTGTTAGAATAGAGAGGGAGTGGATTCATTGGACAAATCTTCTTCTGATTCAAGTTTTGTTTGTTCATTAGCATGTTAAGCTCTACTATTAGTGCTGAATTCTAGTGTTATATAGATAATGGCACTTCATATATGAGTTTTTTATAGCAAACGGTGGTTGATCCATATTGTTACTCCCTCCGGTTTTTAATAAATTTCACACTTTCCTTTTTAGGATGGTCTAAAATAAACTTCACACTTCCTTATTTCCTTTTTTGGCAAAGAAATCTACATCAAAACAGTGCCAAACAGTGCCGAACAGTGTCTCAACAGTGTCAAACAGTGTCTCTACAGTGCCAAACAGTGTCAAACAGTGCCTCAACAATGTACTCTACAGTAAAGTCAAATTTCTTTCCTTATTTTGTGTGAAGTCAAACTGTGAAGATTAAAAAAACCGGAGGTAGTATTATTTTACTTGTTATTATTGTGTTTTTGGTAGAAATACCTTACATTGGTCCTTTCATTCATTCATTCATTCATGGTGACGCAAGGTACTCAGGTGAAGGAGATCGATGCTTGCCTAAAGGAGGTTGATACTCGCCTAAAGGAACGCTCGTTGGAAATCGGAAAGCTGAGAGATCATGATGTTTGTTTCATTAACTCTTTGATTTTGTTTCGGCAATCGACTGAACAAATTATTGAAGGCTCTGGAATTGAGAAGGATGATGAAGAACGGTTTAACACACTCAATCTCGGCCCATATAATGGGGATTGCATCTTCCATTTCAGGTTTGCAACGTCAAACTTGATTTACCAGTTACTCTTCCCAAATACTCTCTCGACCCTAAAAAATTTGTCAAATTTGACTAATACGAGAAATAGTATTGGGCACTTCGTAAAAACCATATAGTTGAAATTTTTGCATAAGTAGGAAAAAATAAACCACAAATTCATGGATAAAAGCGAAAGAATCAAAGTTTTTAGAACATCTAAAGGCGAAAAGATGAAGAGTTATAAAGAAAAGATAGAGTATCTAAAGTAATAAGGTGCTCCATAAGAGCATCCTCATTCATGAGTTTATTTGAAGATCAATTGGATGACGTATAAGATTATTTTAAATATTACCATTGTGAGTTAGAGATTATTTAGTGAGATTATTGAAAAAGAAAATCTAGTATCAAGATTCAAATCCCGGATTATTTTAGATTGTAGTTAAATTACATTTAATGCATGTCAGGAAAAAACTGATTATTTGAGCATTATTGTTAATGCAGAGTTTTAAGTTTTGAGATTATTTGAAATTTATTGAAAAATGTGATGTGACAATGATGTATTATTAAATAATCGTTTATTGAGAGAGCATGAATGGAGATGCTCTAATGAGCATGTTAGTATGCTCCATATTTTTATTCAATTTCTTCAATAGTAACGAGAGTATAATGTGATATGCTAATAAGGATGTTTTTACTTCAACTGTAATCTGTCCCAAACCAGTCCAGACCATATCAGACCAGAACAGACCAGACCAGACCAGACCAGACTTGGACAGTTATAAAAATACAAAGAAATCGGACATAACCAGACCAGACTTGGATAGTTATAAAAATACAAAGAAACCAGACATGATCAGACCAGACCAGTTCAGACCAGACAAGACCAGACCAACAAATTATGGTCTTACATAAAAACATCCTAACTCAAATAAAAATCAGGAGAACGACAAAGAGATGGGACAAAGGAGTACAACTGCACGTGCCAATCAAACGTACCTCACAGATATGAATCGGGTAATCATCTTACATTTTCCATATTTTCTCAAACTAATGCTTTATATTCAAACCAAACGTACACCAGTGTCTATTAATTAGCTTTTCTTAATTATTACGCGAAAGCGAGGGCACTAAGTACCTGACAGCCTGACACAATTATTATTATCTATCTATTCATTTCCTGCCACAAAAGAAGAAGAATCCATAACGGCTCTATTCTCACATTGCCCTGTCCCCCGCCTGCACTCAAATTTTGAATCCCTCTCTTTATTTTCAAAAAATCAGTGGATTTCTCGAACTCTATCCGTTCCCTTCTCTCCCAGTTCTGTAATTTTCCCACTTCTCACTTTTTGGGGGCAAAAGATGGGAACTTGCTTGAGCAAGAAGAGCGCTACTGCTCCCTCTCCTTCTCCTCTTCCTCCCACCACAGCCCAGTCTGCAATTAACTCGAACCCCTCCAAGCAAGAGACTAAACCCCCAGATCTCCAGAAGAAGAAACCAGAAGAAGAAGGGAGAGCGGTCAAGAAGGAGATTTTCGTCATTAGGCACCGGAAGAGCCACGAGACAGAGCGGCAGTCCGTGGACGGAAATGGCGATTCCAAGAAGGACCCGGATGAGGTTTCTGAACCGGTCAAGGGTCCGGCAATTAAGAATGGGTTGGGTCACCTGAGTGTCGTTTCTGCCCCAGTGAGGACTTCGAGCTGCACGAAAGAAGAGGTTGATGCCATATTGATTCAGTGTGGGAAACTCAGTAGGAGCCCTTCCAGATCTGTTGGATCTTCTGATAACAACAATGGGAGCCTACAGAAGACCAAGAAATACTCTGGGTCAAAGAGAAGCTTTGACTTTGATAAGGAACACGAAGGTCCGGAGGAGAATGCGGAGGCTGACGGGGAATTGGAGAGACTCCACCGGCAGAGACAACGCCAGCAGCGCCAGCCGAGGCATAGCCTTAGCCCTTCCACGTCTTCCCGAAACCGAAGGAGGACTCCGAGTAGGGAGAGGGACCCACAGGAGCAAAGATCTGGAAGCAGAGAAAGAAATGGTGGTGGAGCTGCTGGTGGTGGGAGGAGGGTGAGCAGATCTCCTGGAAAAAGGTCTGAATCACCAAACACAGTTACTTCTGGCAATTGTAGGCCAGGGAAGATGGTTTCTGTGCCTGCCACTGTGGCAATGGATAAGAGCATTGATGGAGAGAACATCTTGGCTGCTTCTGCTGTGAAGAGGATTCAGGTGAGGAGGAATGTGGGTGGAGGTGGCGGTGATGGTTCAAGAGCCACCGCTGTGGCTTCTCCTCGGGCTCGTTCCCCTGCCACGAACCAGCAGCAGCAGCAGCCTTCGCTAAGCAGGAGCAATTCTAGGAAGGCAGAACACTCTCCTTTCAGAAGAAACCCTCTGGGTGAGATTGACACTAATGTGATCATTGAACCATCAGGAGGAACTAATAATAAGCCTGCCAAACACAATTCTTCTTCGCAGGTATGGCTGCTTGCTAAGTTTGTTTTACTGCTGTTTGGTTTCATCACTTTAGTGTTAAAAGATGTGATGGTATGGATGAAAAGTGCTCTTAATCTAACCCAAGTAAAATATCCTAAAAATGACCTTGAACATTAGAGCCAGCTTGGTGATAACTGATATTAATGAATTGGTTGAGGATAGGCTAAATAAAAGTGTTTAGTGATTGTGTTTGACTACTTTTCGGTTAAAATGGTTGAATGGATATGTAATTACAAGGATATGTAATTTTTTTTTTGTAGTGGAAGAACGAGCATATATCCCTGATTTTACATGTCCATGGAACAAATGCACATTTAAGATTTCTTTCGGAATGATCAAATGCAAATGTTTTTTAATCTAGAATAAATATATTCTTGAATTATGTAGTCCCTTTAATAGAGAACATATGCATCTCCCATTTCTCTCAGCCATTTGTTCATAAACCCATATTTGTGCTAACTTTAAAATTTTTTATTTTTAAATTTTGACTATGATAATAGAAAATCTAGGGGTGTATTTGTTCTTAGTTTGAAGATATATTGTATCTTCTTCTTTCATTCTTTGGTACAGTGCAACACAAAAAAGGAAAAGTATAATTTCATTTTAAAAATAAGGATAGGTAAAAAACAGTAGAAATATGGCGATATTTGGCTAAAAAGCCCAACCGTCCTGAGGTGTTTGATGTTTCTTTCTTTCAAGACTTGTATGCCCATATGAGCATACCTAATGAGCTCTTGACAAATAACCTTGACCCCTGAACTCTCAAGGTACTAGACTTGGCCCTCAATAATAATGACATGAATGTCTATAGGCATGTGGTGTCTGCAGACGGTTTAAGCCATGACACGATAATATCTAAAGAAAGTTTGCCAGTCAAAAACACATCAAATATTCAAACTTATCCATATCATTGTTGAGTCAAATAGTTTTGATATATTTGGACTAAATTTGTTGAGTCAAATAGTTTTGATATATTTGGACTAAATTTGTTGAGTCAAAGTGTTCATATCGATTACAACTTTTTCATAGTTTTGTTCGTCTTGATACATCAAAGTTCGAAGCTGGAATATGAGGTATATTTTCTTGATTACACTCACGTGCAGAAGATCAATGGAGATAATATCAGCAACATGAAAGTGGGATTGCAAGGAAGTAATACCAATAAGCTTTGTTCTAACAACAAAACTAAAGAGGAGGAGCATCATGTGATAGTGGAGGAGCACAAAGTGGTTGGGGGGAATAATGCTAAAGTCAATTTAATTACTCCAGCAGGAGCAGAAGAAAGCCTTAAAACAGTAACAACAAGAAGCAGGTCCTCTAGATTGTCTCGAGATTTAGACATCAACCCTGAAGCTCTATTATCAAATTCCTCAAGTTCCACTCAAAACTACACAGCATTATTGCTTGAAGATATCCAAAATTTTCATCAAAAGAACACCCCAAATGCCCCCTCAGCTTTCAGTCTCCCAGCTTGTGTCACCAAGGCCTGTTCAATCCTTGATGCAGTGGCTGACCTGAACTCCTCCACCTCTGAGGACAGAAGAAGAAACTTCAAATCTGATCAGTTTGTTAACACGAATAACATAATAGGTGTAAAAGATCAAGAATCCTCCTCAATAGAGCCAAGCATTCACAAGTATGTGACTTTGAGAAGGGGAAATATTGTTGAAGATGAGGAGGGTGATGGAGAAGATCAAGAATCCTCTGGAAGTAACAGCTTTGCAGGTGCTAGTAGCGGTCAACAGAAGCCTTATTGGCTCTCTTCATCTTCTTCCTCTTGGGAACCAAATTCAGGAGACTCAACTTCAAGGTCTTACAGCAGGGGGGATGAAAACCATAGGAGCCCACTAGCCGGAGTTCAAAGGCATGATACTACTATTATGGATGAAAGTAGTACGAGGAGGCTGGCTGCGAAGAAGAGGGATATGGAGCAAAGTGGAGTGGGGAATGTCAGAGTTGGAGGTGGTCCCCACATGTCATCCATGGTATAGCAGTTGCTGCAACTACTACCGCATCAAGTTGAGAGGAATATGGCGAGGGTCTATGCGTGTGGTTTCACACTTCAGATTATATTTGTTGTCTTGTGCTTTGGTATTTTTAGAAAATTTGGTTTAGTTAGGAACCGGTTATTATTTGTATAACTGGAATCAATGAACACACGTTAGTTTCCTTCATGTACACGGTAGTTTCATTCATGTTTTTAAATATATATGTATGCCTGAATGCGTCAGTAAGTAGGTAATGTTTGGAACAATAAGTTTGCACTCAAAATATATCTGATTACACTACTTTACATTTCATTACAGTTTATCACATGTTTCACATGTTATGTTAAACATGTATATATTCTCTTTTAACAAAAATGAAAAACAATCTGCTCTGGTACTCTCCAAGGGTGCAAACATTTGTAGGTGAATCCCTGTGCAGTAATCTAAAAACATTTCATGCTTCACCCATGCTTTTATAGTTAACCATGTAAATTGCTCCCAGTGTTACCAGTGCGCCAACCAATTGAAGAGGCGTGAAGGTCTCACCAAGATATATGAACCTGATCACACACACAACAAATCTAACACCAGCTGAAAATTGTTATCTTCATTTCTAGTTCATAAAGTATGAAAATATTTCTGTTTAGATGTCTTACCCAAATACTGATGCAAACATGGGAGTCAAAAAGGTAAGTGAGCTGAGCTTTGTAAGGCTGCCTGCAGTGTGTTAAAACAGTACATACTGAAGTAAAAAAAATGCAAAACCTAGCCAGGTCTTTGTGAATAAAAATGATATGTTTTGAGCTGTTAAGTGGTGAATAGAAGTTATACGAGTAAAATGACAAGAATGATACACAATGCCTTCTAGCCATTAAACATTGATTGCTCCTAAATGCTCATTTATAAATGAAGCTAGACTGACCTGATGTTGCATTGTAGAAGTAAACACCATAGCTCAAGGCACTTCCAAACACTGATGTATACAGCAGTGCCAAAACGTCGTTTGAAGTAAGCTCCCCCAAACTCCCATCAAGGGCAGGATCGTGATTAATCACGGAGATAGCGGCCAAAGGGAGGCCACCAATAACCATGTGCTGCATAACAGATTCTTTTAATATAAAAATAAAACTCTAAACATTGACGCTGTGAAATTTTACTTCACTAAACGATTTTACTTTACCAAATAACCCTTACCAAACAGACCCTAGTTGAGCTAAAAACTTATGATAAAGTGGGAGCTATACCAATCCAGTAGCCATGATGGGATCAGAGTACTTGGAAACCCAACGGAACATTACTGTGCCAATTGCCATGCTTTGTGCAGCAAGAAGCATCCACCACTCCCCACTTTCCCTCAAATGAGAAAAATTTGTCTCATCAAGCTTCAGTGCAGGCACCTGCGTGTTAGTTAGAATCATATATGAGAATAATCTGCTTGTATGGTTATCTTCTTAGAATGGAAGGTATAAAGAATAAAGCAGCACATCATGAATGAACAATGGCATTTACCTCAAGAAGCAAAAGACCTATTACTCCAAGTACAAGCCCTGCAGCTCCTACTAATCCAATAGACTCCCCAAATAACAGTGCAGCAAGAATAGCCACTGTCAGAGGCTGTGAATCAATAATTACCTGAAACAATGCGTGTATGTAACATAAGGGATGATGACTTTCTCAAACATAATTACAATATTAATCCAGCAATCACTTAAGTGCTTGTTTGGTGACTGGATTTCCAGAGTACTTTTTAAATTACTTCTGCATTTAGATCCATAAAAATATAGTGGAGATATAAGCAATACAAAATACAGTCTTACTAATCCTATTAATTCACCCAGTCACCCGCCTCTTACCTTCCTTCTTATTTACCAACCAAGTCCTATGTCTTTCCTATCAGTGGCAGAGCAAAAAAAATCATCCCCAGGGGGTCAAAACTGGGACATGTACAACATCAAAAGGTCGGATCGTTTTAAGTCAATGCTTAAGTTGAATAATTCATATGTAGATGAGATAAATCATACTACGTAAACATTAGTTCATATGAGATATAGAGAGCTATTGATTTGATATATTTGTAATATATTATAAAATTCACTTAGCTAATGAGTGAATAAAAAGTTATTTTGAAAATTTGGGGATTTAACTAATACTCCGTATTACTAGACAAATTCAGTTCATTTTAAGTCTAGATGATGCTGATTTTCCATGATTCATAACTTTTGACTCGTATTACAAGAGTTACAATATATCAAATCGATGGTATTTCACTACTCTACATGTTCAAACTTTGAGAAGTGGTCAATTGACCACCATGACCCCGAGTTCCGCCCCTGTTTCCCATGATTAGTGAAAAGAGCATGCACACTAGCCACACACACAAAGTGATTTTGCTAACAGCAAGGTAATTCTCGATTCAACTAACACCAAGGTGATTCATAAACTATGTAAATTCTGGAATAAGAATAATTCACTCAAGAATTTCAACCTACACTGCCTAAACCAGCTGATGTCTTTTCCAACCCCTCAGCAAGAAAACCCTGTCGGCCATTGAAATAGACCTTTAATTAGTCGATCAGCCCCAACATATCCACACGCACTGATTAGAAAGCACAAGAATGGAAACCTGAAAGCAAGCAGCATCAATCAGTGCAAAGAGTGTGATAGAAAGCCACGCATTCAGCCCTGAAGGGAATTTCCGGCCCTGGGAAGCAGCAAAGCTTACTAAGAGAAAACCTGCTGGAATCAATCGGAAGGCAGACACGAAAAAAGGCCCAGTTTTGGGTAAAACTTCCTTCATTGCCACCATAGCCGTTCCCCAGAAGAAGAAGGGCGACACTAGCAGTGTCCATTCCCAGACTTTTCCCAGCAATTCTGCTTTCTCGTCTTTCAAAATTGGGCTTTTGAGCTCTGGTTTTCCTGCATCTGCGTCAATATCTGCCACTGAGGGACGGGGATTCTCCTCCGATTTGAAACCTTTCGCCTTGGACTCGATGTAGTTTCGGGACTTGGTGCTGGTATAGGAAGAAATATTTCTTCTTTGAGTAAGGAAGCGGTTATACAGCAAGGGGTCAACCATGGATGTCGCGTTTCTGCCATTAATGGTTGCAGAGAGAGAACAGTAACAAGTTGACAGAGGAGAGAATGTAAACAACGTCATCGTCCCACACTTGTCCGCTTTCTACAACGTCATCCTCCTAACTCTATGGAGTCCATTAGTCCATATGACTCCTTGATACTCCGTAGCTGTTAACGAACCGAGCGCCGGATGAGTTCGTACAACCAGGTTTTTTGTTTTTGTGATTATGCTTAACTTTCTGCACATTTTAATTATTTTCATTACAGATTTACAGTCCAGGCTTAGCCACGTTTTGACATACTCCGTATAAATTATACTTCGTATTAATAATTTCGGGGTGTTCGAGCTCGGTTTGATTAATTTTTTGAATTTAAAGTTCAACTCGGGTTTGAGTTCGAAAGCTCGTTAAGTTCGACTTGTTAAATTTGAAAACAAGCTCGAGCTCGAATAGTTCGATAAAAGGCTCAGCTCGTTAACGGCCATACGCATGGCCGCCACTATATCACAAATGAACATATCATCTATTTCTTAAAAAATTAATTATTCATTTGAAATCTGAAAGATGAAATGTATCGATATAGGACCAACTGATGAATAACTCTTATTATAAAATCTGAATGACTAAAAACTACTCCCTCAATATCTCTTTAGCTGTCTCACTTTTCTTTTTGGGTGTATCAAATTAATTGTCTCATTTCCCTTTTTGAAATAAAAAACTCACCCAAAAAGGGGTTACAATATTACTACAGGGTCACTACAATACCAAAACATCGTACTTTTTATAAAGTCTACAGTAATTATCAAACTCCGTGAAAAGCAAATGAGACAACTAAATTGATAGTATTCCATCATTCAAATCCTATATCGATACATTTCAGGTCTTGAATTAATACTCATCTATATTTGAGGACTGAGGTCATGAATTATATATAAAATTGCGTTCATAAATCACCGTCTCAACTTGAACCTTGTCGTTGCACAAACTTTAGATGATGAGCAAAGAAGGAAGTTGCAAATGATGGGAGATAATTAGCTTGAGGAGAAGGGAAAATTAAAACCATGCTCTTGTTTAGAGAGTAAGAATATGCATACTCCTATTTAGAAAGTTAAACAACATTTTACTCTTATTAAGAGTAATTTGTGATGAATCTAAATGAGCATCTCGAATTAACCAACCACCAATGCGAGAATAAGTTCACCTCTACTGAAAAGTTCAAGACATGTGCACGAAAATCAAATTTAGGAATTCTTCCAATGTGTACAGTTTCTAGCAGCGCATTACCGATCCATACTTGATTAGGAGTGTTGGTTTGTCGATATAACATGATCAGGTTAAAATGTTGGATAACACAATTTGTTGGGCATATGGTAAAGGGCGGGTATAGTAGCGGGGTCGAGTATGGTTCATAGTTTTCCCACCAACCGGTCTCAAACTCTCAATACATGAAATGAAATAGTATACGCGCATATGCGCATATACTAGTGCCATTGAATATTGCTTATTTTAATTTGAATGCCAAATAAGAATAAAAGTTGTATTATTAAAATATGTGTAGAAGAGATGAAAGTGAAAGCTACAAATTCATTTCCCTAGAGCGAAAGTAGTAAAGTTTAATTTTTTAGACAAACAAAAAAGAAAAGTAGACAAATTTGATGAGACGGATGGAATATGGAACAACATAGACAACGTACCCTCGTCTCGTTAAGGTTGTTTCGTACAAAATTTATGAAAATTTGTGTAGTTTTAAATCATTTTTATTTTATTTTTATTTTATGAGTTCATTATGAATCACGTAAACTCATTTTTTTTAATAGTCACATAAGTCACGTTATCAGATCATGTTCCAATGTTAATAGGAAATATGTAATACCTGTTTTGTGCAACCCTAGTTTATTTTAGTCACTCCTTATCCTTTCGTGAGACCTCAACTCCACGACTCTCATCTTTTCTCTACTTCTCTCATGATTCTTAACTTTGAATCCTTCGATCTTGTTTGAAACTCTCATACTATAATAGGGATTCATCCCCTCCTAATCTCTCAATGTGTTAGACGTATCATTCAGTGTTCGAGTATTTGACTCTAGCTGTGCTTTGAAGCTATGTTGCACCGATACTTCATTCGGATGCCATATCCGCGTATCTGATACGTATCCGTATCCGATACTCACCGATAAACGTCCCGTACGTATTGGGTCCGTATCCGTAATTTACTAAAAGTATCGGACTTATTTTTAAAAAATAAAAACTTTTGATACCCGTATCCGGTCCGGGATACACGTATCTAAACTTAAGGCCCCAAATTTCTTACGCAATCATGAGACTCAGAAGACCGTAGATGCCAAAATCAAATGCGAGTAGCGAATCAAATGTTATTTAATTAGAAATTGCAATATTGGTACTTTAGTTGATTTCTGAAATCTTATTACGATTCTAATTTTTCGTACTATCATCACTTTATTTATGAACTCTTGGATTATATGTAATTGCAAATTATACCCTATATTTTTATTATTTATAAATATACCCCCGTACACTATCCTATAATTTTCGAAGTTGCCGTATCGCCGTACCCGTATCTGGGTATCGACGTATCCGCGTATCCGTATCCGTGCAACATAGCTTTGAAGTTTGAGGCTCGAAACGTTGGGAGGAATGGGAGATAGAAACTCTAGTCCGGAATTGAGGATTCTAATTTGGTCAAATGTTACAAATCTCTTTCAAATGTCAAGTATTGATCCGATGAAGCGGACATTTTGTCAAGCTAAAATCAAATATGGGTTTTCTTATTTGTTAACTTATGACAAATTCAAATTTATAGAGTAAAATATAAGATTTGAGCATGTGAATTGTAATAGCCTCTATCCTTAGTGTTTGTGTTTTACATGTGATAAAAGTACGTTATACCTACTTATATACGTAATAATTGTTATGTATTGTTAAAAAAGAGAGAAATCGAACAAGAACCTCAAGTTTAGTCGCAAACGTAAACTATGGCCAAAAGTAAAGAAAGATCGGTCACCAATCAAAATAAGTCAAGACCTTATATATACTTCTTAGTCATTCGTAACAGCCAAAAGAGGATGTAAGCATTTGTAAGAACCAGAAAATGTTAAGATATGGGGTGGGACATCATCTAGATTGTGTTGACATTTATTTTATTCAGGTGTTAAGATTCAAGTTCCATCCTAAAAGGTGAGACTGATATGTGGAGTAGCTAATATCTTAATATAGTATTTAATTGTTTTATAAATATCATGTGTGAGACTTTAACAAACACCATCTTTGGACGTACTTACACAACGCATGATCTTGATCATCAAAGAGCGTTTGAAATACTAGGAGAACTCCCGTGAGAGACCTATGAAAATGCCAATTATTCAATGTAGGACTATAGAGCTGCGACACCAAACCCACCTATATTCCGTCACATATCTTTAAAATTTTGAAGTCTCTGAGTTGGCTCGGAGAACTTTGGTGTAATACCTTCAAAAGGCGCCATAGTTGAAAAATTTACACAAAAATACATTATGTGCTCGAATATTTTAACGAGAAGTCAACATTTGGAGACTATACTTCAAATTTTATCAATCTTTAGGTTATTTAAAGGAGTAAAGGGTCAGTTTGGTCCTCGAAGTTGCAAAAAAGGCGTCAAATAAGTCCTTATGTAGAAGATTTTGTCCGGACGTGCCATTTGAGGTGGCTCCCGGTGGAATTTTGTGATAAATGTTTTTGAGCATCTTATTCATTAAGTCTAGTTTACTCATATCAAATTTCAACTAAAAATTCAATCTGGAAGACATTCAAATGAATTCTTGAAGATAACAACGCTTTTAACGGCACAGTTATCTTCAAGAATTCATTTGAATGTCTTCCCGATTGAATTTTTATCTGAAATTTGGTATGAGTAAACTAGACTTAATGAATAAGATGCTCAAAAAATTTCATCAAAAAACTCCACCGGGAGCCACCACAAATGGCACGTCCGGACAGAATCTTCTATATAAGGACTTATTTGACCCCTTTTTTACAACTTCGAGGACTAAACTGACCCTTATCCCTTATTTAAAGTCATCAATTCATCAATTCACAACGTACTTAAGATCATTCCATCATTGTATTAATTCTAGTTTTTCATTTTTTTGTTATTGATCGATGTTCTTTTAAAGTTTATGATATCATTTAATCTTTAGGTTATTTAACTAGTATAGTACCCGTGCATACGCATGGGAAAAAGAAGTTGATGCATATATTTTTACTCTGAATCTAATTAAAAGTAAAAATAAAAACAACTTTTTAGCAGTGTACATTTTCGAAAACTAAGAGTATAATAACCTAATACACACACAATAAATGTTCGATGAAGAGTATCTTATGGAAAATTAATTGACACCACTCATCATTAGAATTTGCTACTATTTAATTTTGATGATTAAATTAATTTTAAAATTAAATACTATTCTAAAAAGGTTAGTACAATTAGTGAATGACATAAAATTTAAGTGAACACAAAATATTAAAATTAACAAATATTAGTTGAATAAGAACTTGCTACTTATTAGTTAAATTAGTGCTCACATATGAGAGAGAAAATTATTCTGCTAAATTGTTAGCCGGTTTATCTTATACCTAAAAGAACTAATTGTGAGATAAAGTTATTCTGATCAATTGTTAGCCGAATTATCTTATACCTAAATCACTACGTATGAGATAGAAAATTCTACCGCTTAAATATTAGCTGGGTTATCTTATCTTACATACTTAAAAGAACTACATATGTGAAAGATCGAAAATTCCCCGCTTAATTGTTAGCAAGTTTATCTTCTAATACCTAAAAGCACTACATATGAGAGAAAAATTTCTCCCTCTCAATTATTAGCAAGCTTATCTTATTATACATAAAGCACTACATGTTAGGGAGAAAATTATTCCTCTCAATTGTTAGACGGCTTATCTTCTTATACCTAAAAGCACTACGCATGAGAGAGAAAATTCTCCCGCTCAATTGTTAGTCGAATTATCTTATACTACATATTTAAAAGAATTACATATGAAAGACAACGTTATCTCTCTCAAATGTTAGCAAACTTATCTTCTAATCTTCTTATACATGAAAATACTGCATATCTTCTTATACCTAAAAGCACTACGCACGGGAGAGAAAATTCTCCCGCTCAATTGTTAGTCGAATTATCTTATATTTAAAAGAACTACACATGAGAGAGAACGTTATCCCTCTCAAA